CCCCGCGCGCACTTGCTTGCTTGCAGCTACCGCCTTCCACAGGCGGATCCGAGGACCAAATGCTGGCGGCTGCTATTGCTGCATCTCTCGACGCGGGAAACGGCGGTGGTAGCGACAGCGGCAGCAGCAGTGGGGGCGGTGCGGACGCCAAGGTAATGGCGGCCCCCCCCACGAGCAGCGGCGGTGGGAGCGGCGCACCCGTCGCGACGGTTGCGGGAGGGCCGATCAGCGTCGACGACAGCGACGAAGAGGAGGAGGAGGAGGAGGAGGAGGAGGAGGACGGTGAGTCGGGAGGACGTTGTGAAACTGATGGTGGACGCCATCTTCTTCGAAAAACGCACAAGCTTAGTAAAGAGACGATATATCAAACAGAAGTCGCTGGATCGATGTATAGAGTGTATGGTCAGGGGGATGCTGTTTTCACCGTGAAACTGTTAAGGGCCGTGACGGCAGACGCCATCTTCGCAGCAACCCGCGGAAGAAAGAGATGAAAAAAAATATATATATATATATTCTGTAGCGTGTACTCTGTATTACTTAGTATAATAGTATTATTTTTTGGGTTGCAAAGGCCAAGCCAAGCAGAACTCCCAGCATAAAAACAAAGAGTTGGTTAGTTTTTTTGTCTTGGGGACGCAACGTAAGACTGCTGTACACCATATGCGTTCGTCGAAGAGTACCTTGCATCGAGTAAATGCACCCTCCCCGGTGTTGGTTTTGTTTAACGTTGAGCTGGCGGTGTTGCGGAAGGGTGTCAAGGAAAGCTGATCGGTAGGTTAGTGTTGAAGTTGGCGATGGTGGGAAGAGGCAATGCCTTGTTGTAGTTGGTGTCGTGTGAGCCGTGATTGGGGTGGTGGCTATGTTGCGGATGGGTGTTAACGGCAACGGATCTACAGATTGGTTTTGAAGTTGGCGATGGGGGCAGGCAACGGCAGAGAGAGAGAGGTGATGACGGCGTTGCAGTTTTGATGTGGGGGCGTGGTTGTCGGTGTTTGGTCATGGCCGTGGCTCGGGCATTGTTGATGCTGCTGCTGTGCAGGGGTCAATGGCAGCAGCAGCAGCAGCTGGCGACTGCGTTCCAAGATTGACCGGGTGTTGTCGGTGCTGGTCAACGATGAGTGTTGGCGGCGTCGTTCGACTATCGGTTTCGTCGGTGTTGGCTGTGGATCGTGTACGAATTGACGATGGCAATCGATATCTTACGCTGATGATTGATCCTGGTGGGTGTGATGTAAATGTTGTGTGTGTGTGTGTTTATGATTTGCATCGGCCGCTAGTAATACTACGCCAATCTCAGTGCCGCTAGAAACGGAGAACAGTCGTAGATTCTATGATCTGGGGTCTCGTGAGATGTGCGTGTGTGCGCTGTTGTCTGGGGTGAAAGGGGGGCTCCGTGAGGTGTGTGTGGGTATGCAAGTGCTGTGTTCACCGATAAAACGGTGCTCCGTGAGTTGCATGCGGGTGTACGCGTGCCGTTTTCTCCGCCAGCACGCTCATCGCCACCCCATGTGTTCAGTTTTTTTTTTTTTTTACGATGGTGATGGGCGGTGGCCATGTGTTTGCTACACACACGCCGTAGTTGTGCGATACTCCCAATGCTAACGACGAAGAGGTCGTGTGACCACGTACACACAGGTGATGTCGCCGTGCTACCAGCAAGCGCGGCAGCCGCGGGCTTGCCGGCCTCCAAGGCCCAACGGCATCAAGGGAAAGGGAAGGCGCGAGCGGGAGCGGGGGCGGGAGGCGGGACGGTGATGGCGGCCGGAAAAGGTGTTGTGACTAAAAATGGCTAGAGACTGCTACCGTTAGGTTGAATGCGATAGATACCACACACAGATCTGGACCGATTTGAACAGCTCGGGTACTCCACAACGAAGAAGGCACCAAAAATCAAGCGATCACATGCGTTTTCGGAAAGCGAGCGACGAGGAAGCGCTTACAACGCCGCCCTTTTTGGCACTGTCTCTGCTCTGTGTGCATGTATCGACAGCGCTACCCGGCTGACCAATGAGTATCGTATCATAGCGGTCGTCTTGGGTGTTTTGAGTGCAAAGCACACCCATCTCTACTCTGTAGATGAAGCTCCCCAAGGTAACCACAAGGTGACAGCAGTTTCATGCGTAATATCTTCTTTGTTTTCAAGGTAGCAAGCAGATCGCCTGCCGCGCGTTTTGGGCCGCAACCGCCTGAGGCCTTCCTCCTCGCCGATCACGATTTGAAAGCGCGCATTGTGGCATGTACTACCCGCAGAGAAAGCAGCGGATTCCGGTTTTGACGCTGTAGCTCCTTCTTTCACGTGCGCACCACCGCAATCACCTGAACAGTAACTTGTGCCAAGGAATTTTTGCCGCGAACATCGGGACCCACGTCGCTAGGGACCGCGAGATATCGCAGCCACTCCTGCATTGAGCTGTTTTCAGCACCCTACAGCAGCATGTCCATACAGGAGCAGATCGCTCGCGGTGATTTTTGGACCGCAACCACCTGATCAGGCCTTCCTCCTCTCCAACAACACGATTTGCGTTCTTCCGCATCAACCAGGAGAGGGAGGCAGCAGCAGGGCGGACGCCGTGGATGTGACCGAAGACTCGGGGTCCGCGCACGACCAGCCGGTGGGAAAAGCGGGGGCGGTAGAACGTGGCACAGACGACGACGGCGCCGCCGCAGAAGCAGCAGCAGCAGCAGCAGCAGCAGCAACAACAACAACAGCTGCTGCTGGTTGTTCATCGAGCGACGGGAAGAGCAGCGGTGGTGACGGCAGTGCTGCCGACATGGATGTGGAGGGAAAGGAGGAGGAGGAGGAGGAAGAAGAGGAGGAGAAGAGGTTGGAGGACCCCCCAGGGGACGACTGCGCCGAGAAGATCAGCGTGCGGTTCCAGTTCCCGACGGGGGCGAGGGTGAGCCGGGTGTAGGTTTCTTCGTCGTGGTCGTCTTTTTTTTTTTTTTGGGGGGGGGGGGGTGTTTTCGTGCTGTTCGTTGTTCGTCGAGGTCTACGGGTCAGGATTGCGTGGTGGTGGTGCCATCAACACATGCGTTTTTGTTGTTGTTGTTGTTGTTGTTGTTGTTGTTGACGCAGCTGTTACATCCATTCCGCCAGTTTTTTATCACGAGATGGAGGACCCACCGGAAGCGGTGCTGAGAATGTTCCGGGGAACGTTCTGCGTGTAAGCTGCTGTCATCGATGAGCCACAAGAAAACAATGATCGAAGCAGTACCCCCCCCCCCC